TTTTATTTATTTTTATTTTAAATATTTTGAATAAGAATTTAATTTATTAAATAAATATATATTTATTATTATACAGTTGCATCATTATTACATGTATTTATTATTGTAATTATTATTTTTTTTGTATTATCTACTTTCAACTCACCTTTAAGCTCTCGCCGTACACATAAACTTGATTGACATATTGGCTGAGTGTATAGATATTCTCAATCTTCTCGGGCACTATGTACTCGCCCTGGCTGAGCTTGAAGATGTGCTTGCGTCGATCGATGATCCGCAGTGTGCCATTGGGCAGCCACATGCCCACGTCGCCTGTATGATGCCAGCCTTCGGCGTCGATGGCCTCGGCCGTTTTCTCTGGATCCTTATAGTAACTGGAAGAGAGAAACTTCAATTAGCAAACCACAATTCATATATGTATGTGAGTAGATGCTCGCTTAGCTTACCCATGAAACACATTGGAGCCGCGCACGCAGACCTCGCCCGTATTCTGATTGGCGAAATATTCCATTTCGGGCACATCGACGAGCTTGACGGCGTTGCAGGAGACGGGCGGGCCGACATGATTGGGCACATGGTCGCCCTGCACGGTCAGCGTTATGGCACCCGTGCACTCCGTTTGCCCATAGCCCTCCAGCACCAAACAGCCGAGGGCGCAGCGCATGAAGGTGAGCACATTGCCAGCCAGCGGCGCTGAGCCGACGACCATGAGCCGCAGATTGCCGCCAAAGGCCTGATGCACCTTCTTGAACACAAGCTTGTCCCAGCAGCCGTTGCGGCGCAGCACGCCCCGGGCGATCTCCTTCTCCTTGGCCTTCAGGGCCATGTTGAAGAGGCCGCGCTTCAGGCTCGAGGCGGCAATATCATTCTGTATCTTGTCGTAGACACGATTCAGCAGGCGCGGCACGGCCGGCATCACCGTGGGCTTCAGCATCTTCAGGTCGTTGGTCAGCTCCTTGATGTCGCCGGAGTAGAAGCCCACACAGCCGCCCACATAGTACATGCCGTTCTCGCAGCAGCGCTCGAACATGTGCGCCAGCGGCAGGAAGGAGACCATCACGTCCCCGGCCCGAATGCGATGATCGCCCATTTGCAGGATCACCGCACAGACGCCGGCCACCACGTTGCCGTGGGTGAGCATGACTCCCTTGGGATTGCCGGTGGTGCCCGACGTATAGCAGACGGTGCACAGATCCTCCGCTGTGGGCGGCACCTCCGGATGATTGCCCTTGGCGCCCAGTTTCTCGACATCAATGAACGAGAAGATTTGAACGCCCCGACTGCGCGCACGCTCCAGCGTCGTCTGGCGTATGGGCTTGATGGAGACAATGATCTTCAGGCTACGCGGTGATTTCTCCAGCAGCATCGACGCCTTGGCATCGTCTTCCACGATACAAATGGACATTTCCGTTTGGCGTATGATAAAAGCACAGGCGTCCGGGCCGAGCGTGTCGTACAGCGGAACCACAACCAGGGAGAACGAGTAGCACGCCTGCTCGTACAATATCCACTCCGGCCGATTCTGCGAGTAGATCCCGATCAGCTGCTTGGGCCGTGCGCCCAGCGCCAGCATCCCTGAGCCAAAGTTTTTGGCGCGCAGCAGTGCCTCATCATAGTTGATCCACTGCGAGAATAGAGTTCATTAGCAAAGCTCAATGAGAGAGAGGGAGAGAGAGAGAGAGATAGACTCCACTTACCTGATAGGGCGACGTTAGAGTCTCTCGCCAGCCGAGGCAGGGTCCATTGTTTGAGGCGTAGGCACCTTCGCGAAACGTTTGATACAACGTTCGCACATTCTCTGTGATGTAGGAAATAAATTTACCATTCTTCGACTCCTTGTAGAACTTGGAGACGTGTATTTGTTCTGGCCCCTGAAAAGAGTTACGAAACAGAAGAGAAAACAAACACGTGGACATGCAAGATGAGTGAAGGAGTTGAAGAGAAAAGAGATTTACGACGATGACAGAGCGTCGCGAGAATATAATTATATGATAATCGTATTATGATAGCGACAAAGCTGACATATATAAATAGTCTAGGAACAAATTGTTTATTGTTAATTGATATAAAATGCGTGTTACAGGAATATGAAACTAAGTGGGGAAATCTGTCTCTATGATATATTTCTAATTATTTTTCGGCTAACATATATTTTAGCTGGGTTTGTAATTAGACAAATATATATTTAAGATCTATTTCAATATAAAAATATAGAATAAAGTAGAATATTTATAATATAAACTCTAACACTTCATAAGAGATTTTCTACATAATAAGATAAGACTTTAGTTGTTTTAAAATTGTATATGACATAAGAATTTATAATGTAAGGATCGATTCATTGAAAAACTTTTCTTAGCTGCAAAAACTTTGATTATTTGTGTAAAAATGTTTTATTTATTTACATAAAATATTTGATAAATTTTGTTTATGCCGATTTGTCACAACTTTGCTACCGAGCAAAAATAGCAAAAGAAAATCAAAATGAAAATAAAAATAAAATGGAAAAATAAATTGATTTTCGGTTTTTCCAGCTCATAAATCCGTTAGCGATAATGGACATAAAAGCAATAATCTTTCAAATTGATGTGGCCAAAATCAATTGACGTGATTTACGGTTTATTTTTGGCAACAAAAAAAA